GCCGCCGCCGCCGCGCACATGTGCCGCCGCCGCCGCCCATCTGAAGCCGCCGCACATTGTTGCCGCCGCCACCACCCATCTTGAAGCCGCCGCCGCTGCCAGCGTTGTTGCCACCACCCATCTTGAAGCCGCCGCTACTGTTGCTGCCAAAGCCACCGCCTGCAGCCTTGTTCCCCCCAAAGCCGCCGCTGCTGGCACCAAAGCCACCGCCTGCAGCCTTGTTGCCGCCAAAACCGCCGCCTGCAGCCTTGTTGGCCCCAAAGCCGCTGCTGTTGCCGCCAAAACCGCCGCCTGCAGCCTTGTTGGCCCCAAAGCCGCCGCTGTTGCCGCCAAAGCCGCCGCCTGCAGCCTTGTTGGCCCCAAAGCCGCCGCCTGCAGCCTTGTTGGCCCCAAAGCCGCCGCCGCCGCCAAATCCGCCACCGGTAGCCTTGTTGGCCCCAAAGCCACCGCCGGCGGCCTTGTTGGCCCCAAAGCCGCCGCCAGCCGCCGCGCCTGCGCCAAACCCTGCAGCGGCGCCGGTGTTTCCAGCCCCACCGGTTGCAAACCCGTACTTGGCGGCCCTCAGCTCGAGCGCTGACTGGCCCCGGTATGTGGGCATGGCGGCGATGTCGACCAGCTTCTGGTTGCGCTCCTCCGGATGCCGAGTCATGGAGTACTTGACCGTCTCGCCGGCAGCCGCGGCGCCGTTGGAGCCAGCCCCGAATCCACTCCCACCAGAGGCGCCAAAGCCCCCACCGCTAGCTGCGGCACCACCGCCAAACCGGTTTCCCCCTGCCCCGGCTCCAAAGCCGCCGGCCTTGTTCCCGCCAAAGCCACCGGCACCGGCACCGGCGCCAAACTTGTTCCCGGCACCGGCGCCGGCGCCAAACTTGCTCCCGCCAGCGCCACCGCCAAAGGTACTCCCGCCACCTCCGCCGCCAAAGGCGCCACCTCCACCGCCTCCGAACCTGTTTCCACCGGCAGCACCGCCTGCAGCAGCGCCTGCGCCAAAGCCGCCAGTGGCGGACTTTGCGCCGCCTCCGAATCCCGCGCCTCCGGCGCCAAAGCCACTGCGGGCGCCTCCACCAAAGCCGCCGCCACCTGCCGCGGCACCACCAAAGCCAGAGCCTCCTGCCTTTGCGCCGAACCCGCCGCCACCACCTATAACCCCCCACAGTGCATGTACATCCCTCCCTGTCCCGTCAGTCTCCGGCCCTCTTCCCGCCCAATGCGACTTGCCAATGTGACTCGTCACCGCACCCCGCCGCCCGCCACTCTCTGCCTCACCCTCCTTGCCGCCCCCTTCCCGCTCGCCTCTGCTTCCTCGCTGCTCTGTCTCCTGCCACCTACCGCCAAACGATGATTTGTTACCGCCACCAAAGGTGGACCCACCGCCGCCGCCAAACCCTCCCGGCTTCTTGCCGCTCCCGAACTTGAACGCCATGAGTGGTGTTCGCTGTCGATGCGCAAAGTGGAGTGTGCCGGTTGACGCCGGGGCTCCCACAGCGGGTGCGAGTCGCCGCCGACTCCCGCGCCGAGCAACTGCTGGGCGACACTCAGGACTGCTGCCTATGACTGGCGCCAGCGTTTACTCTTCGTCGGCGTCATCACCAAGCTAGCTCGCTTGGACCTTGCCAGCATCACCGCGAACACTCAACACTGTTGCAGTCTACATACTGGCGCCAACGTTTACTCGTCGTCGTCGTCGTCAGAGTCATCGTCAAGATCCTCCAAGGAGGCAGCAGCAAACAAGCTCGCCTGGACCTCGGCAGCATCGCCGCCGGCCTCCGGCCCAGTGCCGGGAGCCGCAGCGCCGCTGCCTGCACCATCGGCGGCGTCAGCCTGTGCGGGTGCAGAGCTGCTGGTGGTGGTGGTGGTAGTAGTCGTAGTGGTGGTGGTGGTGGTGGTGGTTGCCGATGAGCTCGCGTTGCCACGGTCCTGGCGGTTGTCAAAGTTGTCGACACCATCGTCGTCATCCACAAACGAGTCGGGGTTGAACTCGAACAGATCGCGGCCAGAAAGGCCTTCCTTGCCGCCCTTGGCGTACGTCGAGACCTTCTCCTCGCGCAGCTTGGCGGCCTTCTCCTCGCGGGCGGCCACCTTGCGGTTCTTCCACGCAGTAAAGGTCTCGGCGGTGACCGGCGTTCCATCCTTGATCTCCTTGCGCTTCTCCTCGATGATCTCCTCGATGCACGGGCCCTCGTCCTCGTCTTCCTTCTGCGCCTTGGCCACCGACTTGAGGACAAAACCCGGAGGAAGCGCGTGCCGGTACTTGCATGACTTGCCGCCGTTGGGACAGACCCAGAACCAGCCGTACTTCTTCTCCTCGATGGCCTGGATAAAGTACTTGCACACAATTTTGGTCGCGTTGGGCGCGCCGTGCTTCTGGTTGACCACGTCGCGGAGCTTGGCCTCGTCCCAATCATTCATATCCTCCTTTGCCTTTGCCTCATCGCGCTCGTCGGCGTAGATGTTGCGCTTCTTCTGCTTGCGCTCCTGCGCCATGTCGTGAGAGTACTTGCACCGCTTGCCCTTGGAGCAGAGGCCGCGCTTAAAGTACTCGCACACCACCGACTTGGGGTCAACGCCTGCGGCTAGCGCCGTCTTCTTTGACCGCACAACCTTGTTCGTCTCGAGCAGCAGCTGGTTGTACTGTTCCGCAGCCTTCTTCTCACGCTCCCGCCGCGCCCGCTCACGCTCCCTCGCCCGGTCCTGCTTCGACCCGGGCGCAGCCTGCTTCTTCACCTGCTCCACATACTGCGCCACACGCCGCGACTTGTTCTTGTTCTTCAGCCCAAACGTCTTGTCCTACTCGCCCAACCCCATTCATCCAACCCCGTCTCCTCCATAAGTCCCTTCTCTGTCCCTCTGCTCACCACCTACCCCGCACTCTGTGTGTGACCAACCAAAATCACGAAGGCCGACCCGTCTGTCGCTTCTTCCCCCCCCCCCCCCCCCACCTCCCCCTCTCCTCCCCCCTCTCCTCCCCCCCCTCCTCTCTCTTCCCCTCCCACATTCCCTCTCCCTCAACGTACCTCGACCACCTTCTTTGCCTTCTTCTGGTTGGCCTTCTTTGAAGCATCTCCGCCGCCTTTCTTCCGACGAGCCATGGTCGCAACGTGTCCGTCGAGTGGTGGCCGACTTGGTTGATTCTGGCTTTGTCGGCTCGACTGCCAACCAGCCAACCATTCTAATCGCGGAGGGTGGTGGTTGGTGTTGGTGGTGGTGGGGGGGGGGGAGGGAGGGGGAGAGGCAGCGCTAGGCAGCGCCTCGCTCAGCAGTGAACGGATTGTTCTAGAGATCTTGGATCCCCTCCCCTATACGGAGGAGATCGGTGGTGGTACATGAGCATCGCCTCTTTTTTCCCCTTGCCCTTGCCCCCCCCCCCTCCTTCTCCCTCCACGACAAATTTTCCCTCCTCACCCCCACCCCCCCCACCACCACATCCTAAAAATTTGAACCACAAACCCAAAACTCGCGCCACCGCGGTGCACCTTGTCCGCGCGCCTGCTCTTCCCCCCCTTGCACACGGCCTGTTCTCGCCTACACTCCACCGCCAGGTCATCGATACCTCCACCCCCCCCACGCAGTGTTGGCGACGAGGTAGCCTGGCATGTCGAGTATTCCCGAGTCGTTTGCCTCGCGTGACGAGATCCTCTCCACCTTCTCGTTTGACCTCTCGCATGAGCTGCTGACAGCGGCCAAGGTCGGCCCTGTGGAGCGGTCACGGATCGAGGCCAAGTTTCTCGCTCACGCAGCCGATGGCCACTTTCTGGACGAGCCGGCCTTTGTTGAGCTCATGGCCTCGCTTGGGGTCTCGGCTGCCAAGGCTGCGCTCTACTTTGCCGGCTTCAACACCGCCTCCCCGCGCGGCCGCGTCGACTACCACCAGTTTGAGGTCGGTATCATCGCCATGGATCCGCACACCCCGCACGGTGGCGCATGGGGCGCCGAGCGGCTCACGTACATCTTCTCCCTCTACGACACCGATGGTGACGGCACCATCTCTGGCTCGGAGTTTGCTGCCATGTTGGCTGACATCGCCACCGCTCGTGCCCGCGGCACCCGCCCGCCACAGGCCGAGTCTGAAGCCGATGCCGCCTTGGCTTGGGCCACCGTCTTTGGCTTTGACTCGCTCGCGGCAGGCTCGCTCGACTTTCGCGCCTTCCACACCGCTGTCGGCGAGATGCGCATCCGCGGCACGTCCAAGCTCTTCCGCCTCCGCGGCTCGTTCATTCACGGCTCATCGTCGGCCGCCGCCGCTGCCCAGCTCCGCCCGGGCGCCACGCCTGCAAAGTCGCAGCTGGCCCTCCCGCCAGTCTCGCCCATGATGTCGCCGTTCTCGTCTCCCGCCCGCGCGGCCGCGCCAAAGGCCAAGGCCACCTTGTACTGGAAGGCCATGACGCCCGCTCGCCAGGCCCACTACGCCGACGCTCGCTCGCGGCGCGAGGCACACGCTGCATACATGTCCGAGGCCTTTGGCTCGGCTGCCCGCAAAAAGGTCAACTTTCTCGATCCCGACGTCATCTCGGCTGCCCGCTCGCCCACCAAGGCTCAGGACGGCGTGACGTCCAAGGTCATCAACCCGCTCCTCCTTGGAAGCGAGACGTGGTCCCCGCCACCGGCTGGCGAGCCGTTTGACCTGCTCACCGTACCCGAGTTCCTCCGTCTCGCCCAGCGCGCTGGCGACGTCCTTGCTAGCGAGCCGACCCTCGTCGAGGCCAAGGCCCCGTTCAAGGTCTTTGGCGACATCCACGGCCAGATCAACGACCTGCTTGCCTTCTTCCGCACTTACGGCGCACCGCAGCACGTCACTGGCGACATTGAGCTGGTCTCGTACATGTTCCTCGGCGACTTTGTCGACCGCGGTCCGCACTCGCTCGAGGTTGTCGCTCTTCTCTTCTCGCTCAAGGTCCGCTACCCGTCGCAGATCATTCTCATCCGGGGCAACCACGAGGATGCGGCCATCAACGCCGACTACGGCTTTAAGGCCGAGTGTCTGACGCGTCTCGGAAACCACGATGGCGCCGCCGTCTGGGCCGCCGTCAACGACGCCTTTACTCATCTCCCGCTGGCCGGCCTCATCGACTCGGAGATCTTCTGTTGCCACGGAGGGCTCGGCGGCTCGGTCCATGGTCTTGACGACGTCCGCGCCGTGCCCAAGCCTGTAGTCATGTCGCAGCTCGCCGGCACTCGACACGAGCACATTGTCCGCGATCTGCTCTGGTCCGATCCGACCGCCTCGGACTCGGTCGTCGGCGTCCACGCCAACTCGCGTGGGCCAGACGTCACCACCTACGGTCCTGACCGCGTCCAGCACTTTTGCATCGATAACGACGTCTCCATGATCATCCGCGCCCACGAATGCGTCCAAGACGGCTTTGAGCTCTTCTCTGCTGGCCACCTCGTTTCGCTCTTTACCGCCACAAACTATCAGGGCAAGTATGAGAACGATGGCGCCTACCTCGAGATCACCCGAAACCTCAAGGTCACGCCCAAGGTCATCAAGGCCAAGAAGCTGGCCCCGGCTCGCCCGGCCTCAGCGCCGCAGCACAGCAAGGTTGTCATCCCCATCCAGCACCACGAGCTCGCCGCCCAGCGGTCCGACCGCTCGCGCCCGTCCTCGGCCGCCGCTGCCAGGCCCGCTCCGCCAGCCATCCGCTTCACCTCGGACTACAAGGAGAACCACGGCCTCGCTCCCATGGTGCCCAAGCACCACCGTGCTGCCGCGCGCCCGACGTTTACCGGCTCAGGCCACTCGGAGCCTTCATCACCCACCGCCCGCAAGATCCGCTCGCGCCGCGCTCTGCGCGCGCCGCCGCCCTCGGCCGCCGCCCTCCACGCCCACACAACATCATCATCCACCTCTGCCCGCCCTGTCGCCTCATCACGTCAGCCGCGCCGCGAGCGTCCCTCGCTCCGTCATGGTCGTGCCCGCCCCTCGTCGACCTCATCAGCCTCGACCCGCTCTATGCGGTGAGATGTGACTATTGGCCCCCCCCCCCCCCCCCCCCCCTCCCAACTCGGCCCTGTATCCTGACGCACGCAGTCTCAAGCCACCACCAGCCACCATCTGCCACTACAAACAACAGCTTGTGTCTCATAATCATGGTTGACCCACGATGGCAACCACGATGGCGTCCACCATCACGATCATCAACCCTGTCCCGACCTTCCGCCAAAGGAAGAAAAAACACCCGCCCACGCCTGCAGGGGCTGTCCACCTGCACGCGCTTGTCAGCCCCCCTCTCCACGACACGACACAACACGACACATCTCCCTCTCTTTCTCCACCGAGGGTGTACCATGTCGTTCAACAACAAGCATGCCAAAGTGGGGCTGTGCGAGTTCCCGCAGGCTGTTCTCAAGCAGATCCATCCCTCGCTCTCGCTCTCTCATGCTGCGCTGCGGTGGACGACGGCGCTGTGTATGGACAACGGCCGGCGGATGATGGCCGAGGCTGTCTTTCTCTCGCAGGCGAACAAGCGGAAGACTGTCGACTCGCGGGCCATCCAGACTGCCGTCCGGCTGATTCTTCCGGGCGAGTTGGCGAAGCATGCCGTGTCCGAGGGCGTCAAGGCTGTGACCAAGGCCTTCTCCTCGGCGAATCTGGCACTGCCTCCTACGCCTTCTCGGGCCTCACCATGAACGCCACTGACGCTCGAAAGGTGCTCAAGACTGCTGCAGAGGCGCTTGGGGCTGGATCGATGCGTCTTGGATCGGGCGCCATTATCTACGCCTCGGCCGTCATCGAGTACCTCCTGGCAGAGTGCCTGGAGCTGGGCGGCAACGCCGCCAGGGATGACCAGGATGCCGCAGCTGGCGACGGTGGCGAGACTGCCATTTCCGTCATGCACCTGGCCAAGGCAATGATGAACGACGAGGAGCTGTTGCTCTACCTCGGGGGCACCCATACCTCGTGGTTCGTCGATCCGATGGGATGGGGCGAGTACTATCCGCGCCCTCAGCCCATCGCCTCGGTCGTTCCGGCGGCGTCCGTCGCCGACTTTCTCGCCGCCAACGACGACGTCATGCACCCGACTGACCCGCCTGCGATCCGGAGACTGCCCATGCAGCGAGTCATCCGCGAGGTGGCGCAGGATTACAAGTGCGACTTGCGATTTGAAAAGGCAGCCATTGCCCTCATCCACGCAGCCGTCGAGCAGTTTGTGGCCGAGATGTTTGAGGCCATGCAGGCTGAGGCCTGTGCCCACGGCCGAACCACTGTGACTTGCAGGGATCTCCAGGCCGCTCGTTGCCAACTCCTGCCCAGTGCCGGCATGCTACAGCATTACTTTGTGGAGAACAACCCGTTCCTCGCCCCTATCGCTGTCGCCGAGGAGCAGGCGAAGTTGTCCCAGCAAGGCGACGGACCTAGTGCCAACAGCCAGCCGTCCAAGTTCTTCTCTTGATTGCTTACACTCTATCCACCAACCTATGGTGCGGTTGGGCCCGATCCAGCTACAATGCGACGATCCGTAGTAAATGTGTGGAAATATCTCTGAGCACTCGAGCCGACAGTCAGCAATCCGACGCTGAAATAGCGTCCGACAGCTCGGCACGCCAGCCTCGGCTGCAAAAGCGTCAAGCCGATGAGCAGCGACATGAGCGAGGACGCTTTGCAGAGCGAGGATGTGTAGCTAGTGGTTCATGCTTGGGATTTACAGTTCTGACGACCACTCCTCATCGTACTCGTAGTACGAGTACTCACCAGTAGTAACAGCGGCACCTGACTGGGCTGCAGCGCCGTCCGTCCCATCAGCGTCGAGGAGGCCGGCATCAGACCGTGGCGTTACGGCCTGCACCACTTCGGACGGACCTGCCAGCCCGACCACGGGCTGGACATCCGAGACGTCCACTGCGGGAGTATCGATGTCGGTCATCGAGGTGGTAAGCGCAGCGACCTTCTTGAGGTTGTGCTGCCGCTTGCGCGCTGCACGCTGCTCGTTCTTGGCCCGCCGCGCGGCCTTCTCGATCGCTCGGGCTTCGGCCTGCTTGGCAGCCTCGGCGCGCGCGGCTGTGGCCTGCGCATCGTCGACCGCAACCATTGGCCGCGAGGCAGGCTTGGATGCCGCCGCTTCGGTGGTCTTCCTGGCATTGGCGCTCGCCACTAGAACCTCGGACCGGTGCTTCTCAAGCCCCGAGAGAATGACCGACTTGCGCTTCTCGAGATGAGCCTTGTGCTTGGCTTGGGCCTCGTTACGCTCGACCTCGGAGATCACAGGCGCGGCGCGGATAGCCAATCCCTCGTCGGAGCTCGCCGAGCTGTGCGTTGTCCGATGCGAGCTCGTTGTCTGCGGCACTGTCTGGTCGGCCCCTTCGGACGAGCCCGACCGCGAGCCCGCGGCCTCCAGGCTCTCATCGTCTTGAGCCTTGGCATCCAGCGGGGTCTTGGCCTTGATCGCGTCTTGACCGCTCTCTCCGCCGATCACAATCGGCTTGGTCTTCATGCGGACGAGGATACAGCCGACAACGCCGGCGATAACCGCCACAATTAGCGCAAGCACAATCCATCCGAGCGCGCCCACAATCTTGGCGCCGACGCTCTTGTTGCTGCCACCTTGGGCGGCCGGGTTCGTCGGCACACCCGGATTCGGGCCCTTGCCGTCGATCGCCGCCTCCTGCCCGGTCTCCAGCTCGCTGACAGACAGGTAGCCAGTGGCAAACGTGTTGTCACCCGACGCGAGCACGTCCAGCGCGCACGCATCCACCAGCGACTGCAGGCTAACAAAGCCGGCGCAAAGCTCACGCGCCGCAGCCACTTCGGCCTCGCCCCATCCGGCAAGACCCAGGCGCTCGCGCGCACTCGGGGAAGGCACGCTCAACTCGAGATTCTCGGCTTCCGGCAGCGCGCCCGACGTCGCACGCCAGCCGTCGGCAAACGCAGCAGAGTACACAAAGTCGAGATCGTCGGCGGTGCCGATTGCCCCATCGGCGGTCGCCACGTCATTGTCGGGCAAGCCATCAGCGTTGCCCAGCAGACCCGTAAGCGCCCCACGGTTGTACCGCGAGATCGTCGGCATGACCTGCAGATACTGAACATCGTAGCCAGAGACATGGACCGTCATCCGGAGACCGTACCCACCCGAGCCCGGGTACAAGACAGTGAGACGCAGCGGATGCGCCACCGTCAGCTCGCCTGACCAGGCAAAGGTGATGAGAACACCATCAGGCACACCAGCCAGCTGGCCCTTGAGCGGAGTGCCGGCATCGACAATGTCGGCGGTGGAGACCGCCGTCCACGCGCTGCTGTCGCCCGCGCGGACTGAGATCGTCGGCCACGCACTCCCGCTCGCCCGTTCGATCGCCACCGACGGGCGGCCGGCGAGCGCCACCGAGGCACCGGCGTTGACCGTTGCCGCGCCGGCTGGCACAATGCGGATGTGCGAAGTAAAGACATCGGTCTTGGAGAGCACAAACTCACCGAGGCCATGGAACGACCAGTCGAGGCCATCAAAGGTCCGCAGGTGGGGATCGCCGTAGGCAACCGCCAGCGGCGGGCCAACACACGAGGTCGTGGTGGGGAAGACCGTGACATCGTCAAAGGTGGCAGACCCAGTCCGGTACCGCATCATCGAGTAGATGCGGAAGGCAGTGACCGGCTCACCAAAGTTGAGCGTGCCGGCAATCATCTCGGGCGTCGCGGTCGTGCCGGGCGGGAGCGGGAACGCGCGTCCGTAAAGGAAGCCACCCGAGGCCAGCTCGGCATCAATGTAGAGCGAGAGGTAAGGGACGTAGCCCTCACTCACGTCGTTGCTCGAGAACCGCACAGCAATGTAGAGCGCCGTCTGCGGCTGCGAGAGCTCGATCCGCTGACCCACCGCCATGCTCGCCGACGTCGACGTCGAGCTCAGCTGCAGCGCACCGTTGACATACGCCACATCGCCGCCGCTGTTCGAGTCAAGTGGCCGCCAAACGCCGTCCATCGTACCGGCAGTAGCCGAGAGTGCGAGCCCGTAGTTGCTGTTGCTCACCAGTTAAAGGCCTCGGCGTCGGGATCAAGGCACACGTCCGGGTTTGTCGCCGCTACTGCGCGGACAAGCGCTGGCGCGAGAGCCACGCCCGGGATGTACACATTGCCACTCACGCTTGAGTCGAGCGTGAGCGTCACGCCCAGCGTCGACGTTCCCGACGGGATGGCAATGTTGAGCTCGGTCGAGGCCGAGCCAGTCACAACGCTCGGCACACCGCCGTCAAACGAGACCGCGGCCGAGAACGACTCGGGCACCGCCGTCGAGAACGGGATGACCAGCCGTCCGCCGTGGCGCTCCACCATCAGGTCTAGGATGTTGACGGTAAAGGAGAGCGAGGCTCCGGCGCCCAGCTTGAGCGCCGGCAGCGACCGCTGCAGGTCGTACGCGCCAGCAATGGCCGACCACGCGCTGGGCGTGTCGAGGGTGACGCCGGCTGCAAGCTCGATGCCGAGCGCAAGCTTCGGCGAACCGGCATTGATGAGGTTAAAGTCGCGGATAGGCGCCGCGCATGAAGTCGAGCACGCCGATGACTTGCGGCGAATGAGGACGCGCCCGCCGCTTGCGGTTGTGCTCACCAGCGTCGGCGCACCGCAGGCGCCGACCAGGTTGGGCGTGGTGACGAGGGCGTCGGTCGCGCACGGCGTGCCATCCGGCGTGATTCCGGAGCCATCGGCAAGAATGAGGCAGCTGGCGCCAAAGGCACACGACGGCGTCGCGCCGCCGCCGCACAGCAGCTCATGCATAGCGTGGTACGTCGATCCATTGTTTGGCGCAACCTCCCAGCCACACCCGAGCGGGAGCGGCGTCGAAGCCAGGCCGCCACAACTCGCACTCACGCTGTTGCCCTCGAGCACAGCGTACTCGTAGCATCCAACCGAGGCTACACCGGCCACCGGCGTGCTCGGCAGCTCAGGCGCGAGAACCGGGCCCGAGTGGGCGGTGAGCGCGCGACCCTGATCGACACTCGAGCACGCGCCACCCGGACGGTACGAGAGCTGCGCGCTGATCGCCGGCCAGCTGCACGTCTGGCAACCGTTTCCGGAAGAGTCGACCAGGGTGAAGCTCACTGCCATCTGCTCACCAAGCGCAATGGTCCGCGAGGCCCCAAGCGTGATCTCGACGCTGCCGGCGATGGACGTCACACTCAGGTCGAGGATCGCAGCGGCATCGACGCTCACGCTCACCGAGCCCGGCAGGAGGGTGAGGAGGCCAGCAGTGTCAAGATCAACCCTGAGGACCAGGTCTTGCGCCACAATGTCGGCGCCGACACCGGGATAGTCGCTCTCCGCGTTGGCAATGACCAGGTTGATAACCATGTCGCCGGCAACGCCGAGAAGCCCATCGGCCACAATGTTGGAGCCGGCGGTGAGCGTGAGGAGAGGTCCGGCGGGCTCGAGGACGACAGCATCAAAGTCCGCGGTCACGGCCGGCTGGGCGGTGGTGGTCGTGTAGTCGAGTGCGGCATCAATGGTGATGTCGTCGGTCCGGATGGGCCAGGCCTCCAGCGGGAACTGAACGGTCGACTGGGCCATGGCAGTGAATGAGACGGTGATCGTACCCGACGACGAGGTGTCGGCCGCGCCGTAGACGATGACCATGTTCGGCTCACCAAGCGGGAGCGTGGCCGAGAGCACCTCCGAGGTCGGGAGCGAGAGCGGGACGCCCTGCGCGCCGTTGGCGACGTTGACGTCAAGGATGGCCGATGGGGAGGCGAAGAGGAACGGTGCGCCATCAAAGATGAGATCGAGGGCAGAGGCTGTGAGCGTGCCGCGCGGGAGGGCAACGCTGAGTGTGATCGAGAGCAGCTCATGGGCGAGGGTGAAACCCTGCCCGACGCAGCTCGGGGAGACCACGATGGCACCAGCAGGCAAGGCCTTGATGGTCACCGCGGCGGCAGCACCGGCGTTGACGGCGTATGATGGCGGCGTGTAAGCCGGGAGACAGGCAGGAGCTGACGGTGCCGAGCTCCGTGGTTGGTAGGTGCCAGCAACAACGGCGGCGAGCGGATAAACGCCGCCGATCTCGACCGAGTCCGGGAGAACATACGAGAGCTCGCATGTGATCGAGTCGAGGACGCCGAGAGCGTCGGTCGAGACGGTGAGGACGTTGGCGGGCGAGACGACGGCCGAGACCGCAACCGGCGGAGCCGGCGAGGCGTCTGTCGCCTGAGTACACGAGGCAGCTGCAATTTCGAGGCCTGGAGGGGTCACCACGGTGTAAACCACGTCGTGGGCGGTGACCGCAGCGTTTGTCGCACTGGCATCGTGATCGAGGACCAGCTCCCAGGTCGCCGTGTCGCCGGCCTCGTGCGGCCCGGCAGCGATCGAGGCGTCGGCTTCCACAAACGACGAAAAGGTGAGCAGCGGCGCCGAGACTGTCCGAGCGAGGTTGACTTCCGTGGCGACCGGCGTAGCCGAGACCGAGGCCGGCGAGTACGCGTAGTTGGCGAGGAGCGTGACGACGTCGCCGCGCGAAGCGCCCGGATTAACGACAGCGGTAACGACAATGGTGATGATGTCGCCATCAGTGTCGATGTTGTCGGGCGGGTTGGTCACCGCCGGCGGCGAGGCCGAGTCGAACAGCGGGAGCGTGACGGCGTTGGCCGCCGCTGCCTCCGGGCTGAGGTTGACGTTGGTCATGGGCGAGCCGTTGGCGAGCGTCGCCACTGCCGAGACAAGCGTCAGCGGACCAGTAGCGCCGAGGTAGACGGTCGGGTTGTAGTTGACGCCCTCGGGAAGGGTGATTGCCATGTGGTAGGTGAGCGCCTCGGACGGGACAATCGTCGGCAGAGCGTCGAGGCAGCCGGACTCGAGCGTGAGGGCCGCAACGGGCGAGGCCAGGACCCGGTTCATGATCACAGGCGCCGGGCTGTAGTCGTGGTAGCAGCCGGCAGCGGTCGTGCCGGCAGTCGAAGCAAAGGTACGTGCGGCGGTAAAGGTGAGAGTCGATCCCGACGGCGCTGTCGTGGGGATGGAGCCTGGGATGGAGATGGTGAGGTCGGCGCCTGGCGCGAGCTGCGGGAGGACAACGACTAGGTTGCCATCGACAACCGTAGTGGAGATCGGCGTGTGCGAGCCCGAGGAGGTGGCACTGGAAAAGTCGGCGATGAAGAGGTCGGGGACAGCAAGGGTGACGACGCCATCGAGAGTGTCGGTGTGCGCCGACGACGGCACGGTGATGCGGGCGTTGAAGACGGCGGCATCGCCTGCGTCTACGATGACGGTCGGCGAGGTGCCGAGCTCAACGTTGAGAACGGGATGGACGACGTCGAACCAGTTGCGGCGGCGGATGTTGACGCCGTTGGAGAGGACGATGCGAGCGGTGGTGCGGAACCGCGACTTGAGGTCAGCAGCGTCCATGCTTCCACCATCGACGCGGAGGGTGGCGACAAAGGTCATGGTGTCGGCAGCTGTGACGATGTTGTCCGGAGTGTTGACGATCGTCCCGAGGTTGATCGAGGCCTCCGAGTTCGAGTTGGAGAGCACGGCGGCGGCTCCAGACCAGGTCAGCGCCGGCGAAGTGACGGTGACGGACTCGATGACAAACTCGCCGGGCGCCTCCGAGTCGAGAGTAAACGAGGCGTCGGGCGAGATGCCCTCGGGGAACGTCGCCGTGTAGGTGAGAACAACGGTCTCGCACGGGGCGAGATCGTCACGGGTGACGCGATCCGAGGCCTTGTTGGTGTAGTCGAACGAGGTGGTGATGTCGAGGGTGTCGAGCTTCGGGACGGCGACGGTGAGCTCAGCGGCGGTGGCGGCCGGCGAGAGGCGGCACGAGCTTGGGACCGGCGAGGTAAAGTGGCCGAGGTAGCACATGGGCGGAGCCGTGGGCGCAGCGCAGACCGTGCCGGACTCGACGGTAGCGGCGATCTCGACGTCGAATGCGATGATTGCGACGCCATCGCCTGGGACAGCGTGGACGATGAGGCCGGGCGAGTTAGTGCTGAAGAGATCCGACTCGGCGGCAAGGGTGTAGGCGAGCGGCGAGCCCGCGCCGTCGGTGACCGTCAGTGAGAGCCCACAGGGGCCGGGCCGCTGAACGTAACAGGTGGTGTCAAGGTTGAGATGGAGGACAACGTTGTGGGCGATACCCGACTGGACGTTCTTGTAGGCGGCGGAGAGGCGGACGATGTCCGAGCCGTCCATGCCCGAGACCGAGGCAGCGACGGGCGAGGTGATCGGTGGCGAAATGGCGACGGTGGTGGCCGAGGGCGAGGCCGGATCGCAAAAGTTGACGGTCATGGCGTCAAGCCAGTCGCTAGCCGGGCATGAGGAGCAGGTGGCCGTGACACTGCTGGAGGAGGCACTGAGGAGGCCTGTTCCCAGAAAGTTGATGAGTGGCTGGCGGACGGCGATGAGGTCGGCGTCCGAGGTGGCAAAGATGGAGTTCTCGAGCGCGCCGTCGGTGGCTGAAAAGGTGTCGAGGTCGGTGCCGGTGACGTCGACGACAGTATACGAGCAGCGGATGACGATTTCGCGGTAGATCGAGTCCATGTCCGAGTGCGGGGGGAAGGTAAAGGTCAGCTGTGAGGCGCCCGAGTCAACCGCAAGTGACGGCGAGCCGATGATCTGGGTCGCGGCCGAGTCTGCGGCTGGGGTGCAGACATTGGGCGCCGGATAGGTAGCGATCGGAGTCGGCCCCGAGTAGGTGGTGCCGGTCACATCGTGCTGCGGCGAAGGGACGTTGAGGGTCAGCTCAAGGGCAGCATAGTCGGTAGAGATGAGCGGGTAGCGCATCTCGTAGGTGACGATGTCGCCGATGTGGACCGGGTTGTTTGTGCCGCACGGGCAGTCGGCCGAGTTGACGGCGACGACCTCGAGGGTGATGGGCTTGGGCTTGATGGGCCGGCCCGTGGCGGCGGCGGCGACGAGCTTGTTAGGATTGTAGCCGATGATGGTGCCGCGCCAAACAGAGTCAGCGGTGATTGAGTCGCCGGTGACGAGAGTTGGGTCGGTGTTGAGGCGGGTGTCGGTGAAGAGCTCGTTGACGTTGGCGTACGAGATGATCGCGGCCGACTCGCAGCCCTGCAGCTCGCCAAAGACGGAGCGGTAAGTGGAGCTCGTGCCCGACGTTGCTGGGTTGGCATCGTTCCCGACGTCCGAGTAGTCGTAGGGATGGGTGATGTCGATGGGCGAGTTGCCGTTGATGTCCGGCGCGCGGAGCTTGCCGGCAGTGTTGGGCGTGGTGCCGTCGTGGACGTTGAACTCGAGGACCTCGATATCCTTGATGGCAAAGTACTCGGACATGACGTTGGTCGAGGTCCAAGCAACAAGGTCACGCGGGGTGAGCCAGCCGACGCCTGCGGCGATCGAGCCCGAGTAGTCGGTCTCGATGGGCACGGACATGCCGGCGAGCATGGGGCGGAGGTTGATGATGACATCCTCGGAGAAGCCGGCATGCTGCTGAGTCGCACCCGAGTTAAGGTCCACAAGAGTGAACGGGTCGACAGAGACAGTAAAGGTCGCCTCGCGTGGCTGCTGGTTGGCCGGATCGAGCCCCGTCGCCGGGTCGAGGACGGGAACGCCGGCCGAGTCAAACTCCGGTGCCATAAATGGCGCGGCGACAGTGGCAAACGTTTGGATGTCGCCGGAGGCCGTGTAGACGGCGGTACCGGCGGCAACAGCATTCTCCATGACGAGCGACGAAGTGTCGGCATTGCATCCGGCAGGGCTGAGGTCGCATTCGCCGTCGATGTTGAACAGGGCCGTTGCGTCGGGATAGCCGACGCGGAGAACAAAGGACGAGCCCAAAATGGCATATCCCGCAGGGATCGTCAATTTGACCTCGAGCGCGTTGGGATGGCACGTCCCGGTCGCCATGACGTCGCCACGGGTAAACTTGGACGCGTAAGTCACCGAGGCCCCATCAGAGGCGACGGCGAGGAAGCAAAGGAAAAGTGAAAGGTAAAGAATCCGGGTGGTAGCACCCGAAGAGCAGCACAGGGAGGCCATCGCGGAAGTGCGGGTCATAACGTGCGGCTCAAAGAACAAAAAAGTCTTGTTTTTCCGGAGAGAAACGTGCCTAATTGCGGCTAGTTTGGATGTGTGTGTGTGTGTGTGTGTGGGGGGGGGGTGTTTTACGGAGCTGGGACCGAGGTGTTGTTGGCCGGAGCGGGAGGCAGCGGCTGGACTTCGGGGTCGATTTCTGTGACCTCTGCGGGCACGTTGCCCTTGTAGATCTGGAACTGGGTAAAGATAGTAAAGTCAAAGCAGAGGGTGCCGATGGAGCCGATGATGTATGGGAGGCGATTGCGGTACTCATGCCAACCGTGGGTGTTGAGGAAGATAGAGACGGCGTAGAAGAGGTTGCCCATGACGGCAAAGAAGAACATGGCGAGCGAGAGGCCGTCGGTGGAGCGGCGGCGGAAGTTCTTGACAATCTGCGGGGTGCGCGAGCCTAGGTAAAACGCCGCCGACGACCAAGCCAGGATGGTGCCGATGATGTTGATCGTCTTGCCCGAGGTGTGCATAAGGAGGACGCGGCCGCCGGGGCTGGCCACCCGGGCGGCAAGAGACGACGGCTCCAGCGCCAAGCTCGCCGTGGTCAGCAGGCCAAGAGCAAGAAAGACAAAGATCGAGTGCAGGCGGGTGGCGTTGGCGGCAGGCACGCCTGGCTGAGACGCACTGGTTGAGTACATCGAGTTGACAGTAGAGTGGACGGTTGAGAACGGGATGGAAGGCGTGCCCATGCCCGGTGGCGTCACTGTCGACAGCGGCGACGCTCCAGAGAGCAGGCGTGTGGTCTCTGACGCACCGGTGCCATGTACCGGCGTCCCGATGACTACATTTGGCGAAGCCACGCCTGGCCCGCCCGGCTTGCTCAGCAGGGCTGAGCTCTCGGTCGTCAGCGACTTGGCCTTCTTGCCGCGGTTCTTGATCGAGTAGTAGCTAAACTGCGAGAAGAGGATTGTGTCGATAAAGACAAAGTACATAGCTTGATACAACTGCAGGCATAGCAACCATGAGATGCAAGTGAGTAGCAATGGCGGTGGTTGGACAAGCGAGGTGATCAGTCGCCTCTCCTGCCAAGTCGACTCGCGTCGTGTTGGCTCGACCCGTCGTCGCCAGTCGTCGAACCGAGAGCCGAGTGCCCGAGCCGAATACCCATACCTCTGGCCGGGCCCAGGTTCAAGGGAAAACAAAGAGGCCAGGAACCCTTTCCCATGGATTTGACATCTCTGGCTTGAACTAGAGAGCTCAAGTGTACATGTGTAGTGGAGGGAGGGATAGGGGTGTGTGTAGGGGGGGGGAGGGGAGGGGAGAGCGCCAATGGATCGCGCCAATGTGTCCGACAGAGAGGGCAGGGTGTGGGAGGGGGGGGAGCGGGGGGGTAGGGGTAGGGGTAGGGATAGAGACGGACGGGGAAGAAGGAGGGAGGGTAGTATGTGTTGAGAAGAGGGAAAGGGGCGGTAAGAGGGGAAGGTAGGTGAGGTTGGACGTACCTGGGTAGGCAGCTGGTTGGTGAGAAGGCAGCCGAGCAAATTGAGAATGTCGCCAAAGAGCCACTGGAGGAGGAAGGGAAGGGCAAGCGAGTCTGCGTTACCGCGCTTAAAGTTGGTATAGATCTGAGGTGCTTGGCAAACAAGCCACCATCCTGTAGACATGATGCCAAGGATGACAGAGATCTGTCCCTGAGTATCGTACACGCACTCGCCAAAGTAGTCTTGGCACCATTTGACAGCACCAGCATCGCATGCCACCATCACGGCCTACCCGACGACAAGTGGACCGTGCCGTCACCCCCGCTGCCTGCCACCACCCGCCGCCGTCTGGCTTGGCGACACAGCCGACAATAGCTTTGGTGGGAAGCTAACCACAGATTGAGTCGTGTTCTAGCTGCAGGATGCTGCGAGGAGTTCGATGTCGTGTGGGTCGAGATACTGCCAAACAGTGTTTATCGGCGTGTGAGGGGGGGGGGCAGTGAGCGCCGCGCGGCGCGCCGCGCGCGGGGCGCGAATCGGTGATGACCTTGGCATCAAGGCTCATAGTGGGCGCCCATGGTGGGCCCCACCATGGGGCTCAACATGGGACTCGACACATCAAAACCTCACCATCCGTTGTCGACGGTGTAGGTGACGAGGTAGGCGGGCATGGCCTTAAATGAGTAGGCCATGTACACGCGGGTGCCGCCGGTAAAGCCGGTGACGGTGTCGTAGCGGGCGTGCTTGACCTTGACCTTGCGCTTGGCGCTGGCCTTGGCCTTGTGGATGCGGGCGTTGGCCTTGAGCTCCTTGGCGTGCTTCACGGGGCTGCCCCACTGGTCAGTCGGAACGACGGGATAGTCCTTGGTGAGCAGCGGCGGGCGCTGGATGCCTGAGTTCGGGTCCATCTGAGCGGCTTCGCCGGTAATGACCTTGGCCACAAACATGGTGTGATGGCCCGAGGGCTCGTAGTACGCGTAGCTATGCGAGTAGTTGGCCCGGGCGGCAAAGTACGAGGCACGGCCCCACATGCCCCAGTCCGAGTAGCGGAGGTCAAAGCCCTCCTCCGAGGTGTAGACCTGCGATGGCTCGGTCGACGACGTTCCGTGGAAGAGGAGCTTCTCGTTCCCGTTACCGCTTGTCTTCTTCCGGACCGAGCGCAACTCCTCGATGTACCGGTGGTAGAGGTGCTCGTTTTGGACCCGGTAGATCTTGGAGATGTTGATCGCGGGCATCGACTTTTTGAACTCGATCTCGATCATGGTCCACTCAACCGAGCCGGGCCAGATGTCGACCATGACGCACGGCTCCTCCGAGTCGGTCTCCTCCCAGAACGACGCCATCCACTTGTCCGGCTTGCGCGGCGTCCGCGCGACGAGCTTGCGCATGGCGCGGAGCGCCACCGCGTACTGCCGACCGCACCGCTTGGAGCAAAAGGTGGCAAACTTGGAGCGGATGACCCGCTGTGCACGGTCTGGATAGTACACACCGACGCCGCACCGCGGGCAGAGCGACCGCTCGCGCGAGGCGTACACCACAACCTGCGTGACCAGTGCCGCCGCTGCGTCGCGAACGCAGAACTCGCTCCGTGCAAACTGCCCGCGCGGATGCTCGAGATCGACCTCGAGGCCCTGGAGCGAGTCGTACACGCCGTCGTCGATCTCCTCGTCGGTGTACATGTACGTCCCGTACGGGTTGCCCACCGCAACCTGCGCCACGAGCAGGACCCGCCGCCCGTGCCGCCCAAGCGGGTTCGGCATCAGCGTCGCGTACTCCTCGGCCTCGAGCGGCGATGGCGAAAAGTAGAGCCCGGCGCCGAGTCGCCGACGGATGGTCACATGCGAGTCCGAGCTGTCGTCGTCGTCTCCTGCACCCGTGCCTGCAGCGTTGTTGTTGTCGTCGTCTTCGTTGTCGTCAAGCTCAGACACCGACTCGTCGCCCTCGAGCACTGCGGCCATGGTCTGCGAGAGCGGTGCTTGCTTGGGCGTCACCGTCAGCGCAGATCCTCCCGAGCTGGTGGTGAGGAGCGACGGATGCGCGCGAGCCCGTGCGCCCCAGCACGGCGCTGCGTCGAGGTCAAAGCCCTCGCGAAGAATCGAGCACAGCTTGCACTCGGGCATGGAGCAGAGCTCGGTGTTGCCGTTGAACCCGATGGTGCACTTGGCAAACGTGCCGTGGTACAGCCGCCTCACGAGAAAGTTGTTACGCGCCAGAAACGGCCGCTTCTTCTCCAGCTTGTGGACGTATCGGTCAAAGGCCTTGACCTGCTCCTTGGCCGGCGCAATGTCCAGCACCGTGTCCAGCTCCGCCGACGAGTCAGCGGCGGCAAAGTCGGCCCGGATGTTGCCCACAATCTGCCGCCCAGCCTTGCTCGCCGCCTTGTCTACCTCGGCGGTGGCCGAAATGAGGACAGAGACGCCGATCTTCTTGTTTTTCCGTGCGAGTTCGGGGTCGCCTCCGCTGCCCTCGACCGACGACTCGGACGTGGAGGCATCAGACGACGAAGACGACGACGATGCGTGCTTCCCCTTGCGCTTACGCTTGGCATTGGCCTTTTTGCTCTTCTTCTTACTGCCCTTCTTCTTCTTCTTCTTGTTCTTCTTCTTCTTCCCCTTGTCGCCATCTCCTGCGCCGTCGTCGTCGTCGGGAAAGTCCTGCCGCCGTGAGACGATGCGGAACTTCTTTGCGTTCTGCAGCTTTGTCAGCACCTTTGACACGCCAAACTTGGCCGCAGCCGCATCCGATGAGCACTCTGCTGTCGACGACGAAGCGCCTGTCCCCGTCGTCGTCGCCGTCCCAGTCTCCGTCACGTTGCTCTCCTCCGAGCCATAGTCCGAGCCATAGTCCGAGCCCGAGTCACTTCCACTGTAGTCACTGTCAGTCACACTCGACGACATAGCACCTTTGTCGCTCAAAGTATGTGAGAGAGGCGTGCTCAGTCCCCACCCTCGCATCCTTGGCCGGTCCTGTCCGCTTACCCGGCGGTGCGTGGGCAAAAGCCAGCTGCCACCCGTCCTTCCCCAACCGTTCCATTTGTTCGGTCCGGAATCAATCACTCGCGCGTCCGCCTTGTGCCGCTCCCCCCCTCGCCCGTCTGTCGCTTGACTCGACTGACTGCCCAACTGTTGCCGCCCGAACCAGGCTCCAGCCAGCCAGCCAGCCAGCCAGCCAGCCAGCCAGCCACACACGCGCGCGAGCGTGCGCACTCTCTCTTCTCGTTCTTGCTCATTCACTCGCTCTGGTTCTCGCGCCGCCCGCTCCCGCTCTCTCTCTCTCTCTCACACACACACACACGCTGTTCCTCGCTCTGCTCGGACCGATGGCGGCACAGCTCACACTACCGTTCACCAAGATGCACGGCCTAGGCAACGACTTTGTTGTTGTGGACAGGGTGAGCTCGCCGGAGGTCCCACCGATGACTGCGGCTGCGGCAATTGCGCTCAGCGACCGCCATCGTGGCGTGGGCGCGGATCAGGTGCTGGTTGTCGAGCCCGGCGACGGCAACGAAGCCTCGTTCCGCTACCTGATCTACAACGCCGGTGATGGTGCTCAAGTCGAGCAGTGTGGTAACGGCGCGCGATGCTTTGCCAAGTACATCCGTGATGCGGGGCTCGTCTCGCCCGAAACAACGGTGCTCTCTGCCGCCACCATCGCGCGCACCATCGTTCTGCACCTCGAACCGCTTGCGCCCGGCACGCTCCCGTCGGCAGATGCAATCGACATGGTGACGGTGGACATGGGTCCGGCCGTGGCCGGCTTTGAGGTTGCCATTGCCGACGGCGGTGGCTGCCAGCACCGCGAGGCCATCGCGCCTCGGCTGCCCGGGTACGCGCCCGGACCCGAGCTTCTGCTCGTCGACATGGGTAATCCTCATGGCGTGTGGGTGGTCGACGACGTGCTGACCGCGCCAGTGAGCACGGTCGGCCCAAAGCTCGAGCGTCACCCGGTCTTTCCGGCGCGGGCCAACATCGGGTTTGTGCAGGTCATCGACAGGTCAAGGCTCGCGCTGCGGGTCTACGAGCGGTCGGCCAGCGAGACGCAGGCGTGCGGGTCGGGCGCGTGCGCAGCGGCGGCGGCCTGCGTCCGAGCCGGTCTCGTGGACACTCCAGTCCGAGTCTACTTTCCGCTGCCTGCGCTCGCTGCGACGGGCGTCGACACAGGAGCGCTCAACCTTGGCGCTGTTGTCGCTGACCTCGATCGCGCGCGTGCTTTTCTCGACATCGCCATCGACGGCGACGACGCTCGGTGCCTGATGACCGGGCCGGCGGCGAGTGTGTTCTGTGGTAGCATCCGGCTTGACGCCACGCTGTTTGAATCAGCGTAGGTGCACGGCAGAGTGTGTACAAATGATGTTATTGCGGTCTCAGTCCGACTCCAGCATGTCCTCCTCGTCTTCGTCGTACTCGGAGTCCTCCTCCAGAACCCAGTCGCCGACCGACTGGACCGAGTCCTCGCGGACGACCGGGGCAGAGGGAGCAGCCTCGGGCGGCTGGAAGCCCTCGGGCAGCTCGCGCAGCGACTTTTCGCAGAGTTCGCGGAGGCGGGCCTTGTACGCGTCCATATCGTTGCGGTACTCGACGCCAGCGTCGATGTTGGCCGGCGACGAGAGATTGGGGTCGCCCAGCAGCGAGCGGACCGAGATGAGGACGGTCTCGACAGTCTGGATGGGATTCCACCGCTCGGCGAGCGACTCACCCGAGCCAAACTCCTCCACCGGCGGGTGGAGAATGGAGATACAAACCTTGCCGGTGTCCGGCGGGCCGTGGATGTTCGGGTGCCACATGGTGGAGGTGAAGGACATCTTGGGCGGGTTGTACGGATAGTCCTTGGGAAACTCAAGCTCAGCACGAAAGACTCCTCCCTCGTGGGTTGAGTCCGGCGGGCCGGCCATGTAAACCTCCCAGTGGTAGATGTCGTCACCCACCAGGCCGACCTTGCACCCATCGATGGGGTTCTTTGTCGCCGCCTTCAGCTGCTTGGCGAGCAACGCCGCAGACATCGACGATGCAGACATACTCCTTCTTCCTAACGCACACCATCCCATTGTACCACATCCACATCTCCATGAGTGCTCCCCTGTTCCCTGTCACCACCCCCTCCACGTATCCCGCACCTCGCCACCACTTCGCCCCGCCACCCCCCCGTCCCGTCCCCCCACCCCCCCCACTCCCCCACCACCACCTCCCCCTCCCCCCCCCCCCCCACCCCTCCCAACCCACATACCTTTGCTACTTTGTTTGTAGCCTATGAGCAAAGAGAACTGTGTCTATGTGTACGTATATGAGCCTCCCGCCCTCCATTCCCTTCCCCCCTCTTATGGGCATTCCCTTCATGTCGCTTATCGTTCAGCGACCGATGGCTCACGCCACCGCTGCCAACGATTAATTCACGAGTTGTTTGATTGAATGATGCGTCGGGTCGACTCTCGCGCCATCACGCACCGCGCGCTTTCGCCCCCCCAGCCCCCCCCCCCCTTCCCCCCCCCTGGCCTGAGCTCTTGTCTGAGTTGGAAACAGCACACACCGCTCTGGCAAACGAGGGCAACTACAGACTGTTTGCTACTGGTGGACCCATGCCGCGTGGTTCAGCTTCCCGGTCGGTGACGCCCACTCGGTTCTCCCGCCGCCTCCGCAACCGCACCGTCTCGGTGGCGCCCGAAGACGACACGGGAGGCGCTGCTGCTGGCGCAGCTCCGGCCTCGCCAGCTCCGGTTCCTGCTCCTGCTCCGGCCCGTCCCGCACGCACTGCACGTGCCACTCGGAGCCGTCCTGCTCGGGCCACTCGCTCGCGCTCGGTCCGGCGCTCGCCCTCGCCCTCGCCGGCGCCCGAGTCGCTCTCCGAGGAGGTCGCCTCGGCGTCGGTCTCGGACGATGACGATGACGATGACGATGACGATGATGACGAGGGCGAGTCTGATGATTCTGGCGAGAAGCTCTCTGACGACGAAGGTGCCGAGAGCAGCAGCGAGGATGAGTCGGCCTCGGACGAGACGTCCGAGGAGCCGTCCGGCGAGGCCACGGCGGCATCAGTCGCCTCGGACGCTGGCTCGCCGCCGCGGCTCGCCCGTACTTCCATGTCGCCGCTGCCGACCTCGCCGCTCTCGCCGCGGGTGGCGGGCGTTTTTGATGTCAAGGTTCAAGCGCCGCCACGGATGGACACCCCGGTGCCCGGCCCCGATGGTGACATTCACGCTCTGCCGGTCGCCGATCCGGCCCTCCTCGTCCGAATGATCCATGTCATTGGCGCTCTTGCCCTTGCCCTCAACCTCTGGGTCGGCGCTACTCTTCGCTGGATCTTTTTCCTCGACGACAACCGCTACTTTAAGCACGGCTCGGTCTGGCGCGGCCTCATCATCATGGTCCTCGTTCTCCTCATCGGCACCTGGACTGGCCCGCCGGCGCTGGGCCATGTCGCTCCTGCGCTGTCGGAGCTCTCAACGCCGCCGCTCCCCGCTGCGCTCCCGTTGCTTCCGTCGCTTCCGTCGCTCCCGTCGCTTCCGTCGCTTCCGTCGCTCCCAACCTTTTCGTTGGCGCTGCCGAGCCTTTCGACCTTCCCGACCTTCCCGACCCTCGCCAACCTGCCGTGGATCTCTGTTCCGTCGTTTGACTTTGCGTTCCCGTCGCTCCCGTCGCTCCCGTCGCTCCCGTCGCTCCCGTCGCTCCCGACGCTCCCGTCGCTCCCGTCGCTCCCGTCGCTTCCGACGTTCCCGACGCTCCCGGCCAGTCCCGGCCCCAGCCCAGCGTCGTCGCTCCCGCCGCCGCCGCCGCCGCCGCCGCCGCCGCCGCCGCTCTCGCCCGACTTTGACATGGACGAGTTGAAGCAGTACATCTCGGCCACGGTTGCGTCTGCTGTTGCGTCTGCAGTCTCCTCCTCGGTGCCGGGCGCAGTGTCCCAGGCCGTTCCGTCTGCGGTCGCCGACGCCATCGCTGCGCTTCCGCCCCCGCCTCCGCCGCCGACTCCGGCCCCTGTTGCCCCGGCGCCACCGGTTGTCGACGACGCTGCGCTGGCCGAGCTCAGCGCCAAGCTCAGCGCCCTGACCGGTCGGGTCGAGGGCCTCTCGGGCAAGCTGGAGGCGAGCCAGGACGAGGTCGCTCTTGTCCGCAAGCGGGCCACTGCAGCCACCTCTGGCGTTGACGAGGTCCGCACGGCCACCAAGACCCAGCTCGACGAGCTCTCGCGAGTTCTCTCGGAGCTGGCTGACCAGGTGGCGGCTGTGGAGGAGGCCCAGGCTGCGAATGCTGCTGCCGCTGCTGACGCCGCTGCCGCAGCTCAGGCAGCCACCGAGGCCGCCGCCGCCGCGGCAGACTCAAGCTCGGCGCCGTCTCCGAGCCCGGCGCCCGTCGAAGCTTACGACGACTCTGCTGTCCGCGCCGAGCTGTCAGCGGTGGCAGCATCGGTGGCGAGCCTCGAGCCGAAGCTTGCGGCGCTTGACGCCGCAGTGACAGCGCTCGAGAACGCGCCTGCGCCTGCACCGGTCCCGGCCCCCGCCCCAGCATCCAGCTCACCAGCGCCGCCGTCGCCGGCCGTCACCGAGGCACTCGCCCGCGCCGACGCCCAAATCAACGCCCTCTCGGGTGCGGTCGACGCGCTCAAGGCCCAGCTCGCCGCTGTAGAGAAGGCAGCATCCGCCGCTGGCGCCGCTGCCGCCACCGAGCAGGTCGACGCTGTCCGCAAGCTCATCGACGACGCAGGCTTTGTCACCACCTCGCAGCTCACCGCGCTCATTGAGGCTGCGGTTGCCGACCGGCTTGAGGCCATCTCGATGCCGACTGCCGCTGACGTGCTCGAGCACGGCAAGGCCGACATTGCCGCCATGGTCCGCGACTCGGTCCGTGCGGCTGTCGACTCGGGCACCGTCGACGTTGTCGCCGGCGTCTCCGCCGACGAGGCGCAGGCGCTCGTCGCGGCCTCGCTCGCCAAGTACCATGCTGATCGTACTGGTCTTGTTGACCACGCTGCCGACGGCTTTGTCGTCCAGCACTCGCCGGACTGGTCGCCGGCCGGCGGCATGTCGGCATCGATGGCCGAGGCCATGGCCGCCTTCCTCTCCAAGGTCACTTCGCCGCTCCGGGTCGCCGCGCCTTCCATTCCGCGCGCCACTGCCATGCTCCTTCCGTCGGCTGGCGTCGGTGACTGCTGGGCTATGGCCGCTGACGCAGGCTTTGCCACCGTCCAGCTCTCCAAGCCCGTTGCCGTCACCTCGATCTCGCTCGAGCACATGCCTGCCGCCGTCCTCCTGCACTCGTCGTCGGCTCCGCGTGAGTTCCGCGTCTACGGCTCACCGGACTCGGGCGCGTCCTGGACCCCCATCTTTCCGGCTGGCTCCGACTCGCCGGTCTTTGTCTTTGACCCCGCTTCGCCCGACCTCCTCTGGGGTGGCGTCCTCCATGCCAACGTTGCTGTCGACTCGGCCGCCTACAACCAGATCCGTCTTGAGATCCTCTCCAACCACGGCCACAACGAGTACACCTGCATCTATCGCTTCAGGGTTCACTCGGCATAATGCTCTCAGCCTTCATCCTTCCCCCCTCTCTCGCCTCTTTCATCAGGCTGTAAACTTGTTGTACTCTGTGTCCTTGCGAAACGTGCAACGTTCCCACGCGATTTCGTCCTTTTTGTGACCCGCCGAACAACGGCCATCTCAATGACTCGCAATGGCAATGGCACAGCCCGGGATCACCTCACCCTCCTTCCTTCCTTCCACAAGGCCACCCCTGCTCAACATCTCTACACCACAATCTCCTCGCCCCTCCCTCCCCTCCCCCCCACCACCATCAACGCATTTTCTTCCTTATTTCCCACAACTACTCCCCTCATGCTCGCACTCTGGTGGCTGACAGTCGCCATTGTGGCGGTGGTCTTCGTTGGCGGTCTTGTTGCCGACGGCGGCGTTGCCGCCGACTCGCCACCAAACGGCCCCGAGCTGTTCAAGGACTCTATCTTTGTAGCTGATGCCTTTTCAAGCATCTCCCCTCTCTACTCGCAGCCTATTCCTTCGCGTAATCCTATCATGGCCTCCGATGTGAGCGATGGTCCCGGCCCGAGCAGCTCGACCGAGTTCTACCTCGACTGCAGCGACTCAATCGTCTCGTTCTCACTCGAAGTCCCGTACTTGACAGAGGTCATGCGCATCGAGGTCATTCAGGAGAACGGCGGTGGTCCCCCGGTTCCACCAGGGCTGGAGCCGGTTGGATGGACCGCCCACTTTGCGTGGGATGAGCCGGCGACGTTTGACAACTCGGGCTTTAGTCACTCCAACACCACCAGTGGCTGGTCTGAGACCATCGTCATCCCTGCTCCGCGCGCGGGCCGGCTGTTTGGCATGATCACCATTGTCGACAACTACGTTACAGGCGGCTCGGGTCCGTACTCGTGTCCTGGCTTTGATCCGTCGAGCTACGGCTTTCACCCGCCAGGCGGTGAGAAGGCCGTGCAGTTTGCCGTCACTGCCGACTTGGCGTCCTGCCAGTTTGATGGCACCTCACAGACCTACAGCCCGTACACCGACGCTGGCCTCAGCTTTGACAAGATTGGGTCTTCGGATGGCTGCAGCGAGGGAATGACCCGACTTGTGTTTGGGGCCTCTGCCACCATCGCGCCGTCGACGGCGTTCACGGACCCATCCGAATCACGGACCTATGCTGGTGTCGGATCGCTCTCACCGCCAGTCGGATCGATGACCTATGCTTACTTTGTGGTCACTGGCGCTCATGCCCGCGTCGACGTTGATATTTCCGGCGTCTCGAGCGCGACGTTTGGGGTCGACGTCTGGGTCCGGCGCGACGCGCTTGCTGTCCCACCTTCAGTCTTCTCCGGCTCAACGATGACCGGGGCGCAAGACGGCCTGTATGTGCAACATCACCCGACGAGTGGGCCGAGCGTTCTCACGCTCTTTGCTCCTGTTCCGGGTGTCTACTTTGTGGGTCTTCATCGAACGAGTTTGGCCGACTTTACCCTACTTGTGACGAGCACGCCTGTCGCTGACGCCATTGCGCCTTACAAGACTGGCGATGGGCTGGTGTACATCGGCTTTCCGGACTTTCCATCGCTGCCTGCTTCGGGATCAAACCTTGTTGTGCCGAGCAAACAGCACGGCCTTCTTTCTGGCCGGCGGTACCCGATCCAGCTTGCGCACGCGACCAACGGATCGTCGTCGTTTGCGGTGGCGCTCTTTGCCTTTACTGTTCCGGCAGGAGCCAAGGCCTTTGACGTCGAAATCTCGGCGTCGCACCCATACGATGTGGTGCTCCGCCACGGCGGGCCGCCAGTCTTTTCCAATTCGGGCGTGGTCCAACCGGACGCCATGGTGGTTGTCTCGGGCGTGACCGACAGTTTCAACAGTACCACCCGGCTCACCAAAGGCATTTACTACCTCGCGGTAATTCCAGCACCCGGCTCGCCGACCGACGCCACGTTTACCGGAAGCATCCAAGTCGGTTGGGATCTGTACTGCGACAGCAACTGTGACGGCCACGGCTACTGCGACATTTTCGGATCAACCGGAACCTGCTCGTGCTGGACCGAAGGTGATCCATCCTCGGGCTACTTTAACCAGGATCGAACCGGCCCGCACTGCAAGCTGGCCGTCTGCGGCCGGCACGGAACATGCACAGGGTGCGTCGCAGATCCGGCGTGTACCTGGTGCCTTTCGCGGGGAGCTTGTTTGCTTGGCGCCGTCGATGCTGCCACGGGCTTCAACGTCGCGCATTCGAACTCGTGCCCGGCTCAGGGTGGCTTCGCCGGAGTGCTGGCTTCTCGGTTAGTGACCCAACCCGAGGTGGCTGAAGCCAAGGGCGATTCGAGGTACGGCTCGTGCCCTGCGCCGTATGTCCACCAAACAATGGCGACGTATTTGGCGGGCTTGCCCTCAACTCCTCCTCCGCCGACGCTGCCGCCGCCGCCGCCGTTTGTGACCAACTTTGCGCAGCAGCGCTCGGGCCTCGGCGAGTGGCTTGATGCCGGCGAGTACTCAGAAACTTGCGGCTCGGTTGCCTACTTTTACGGACCGATTCCGCGCGCTTTTGCCGCTACGTACTTTGACTCGAACAAGTTCAACACCTCGTTTGCGCTCTGCGAGTTTTACTCGTACAACCTTGCCACCCAGGCTTGGTCGGACCTGACCAGTGTGATGGGCGACGGCGAGACGACGGGGCCTGGCTGCCGGGCACACGCGTCACTCGTCTGCTTTCCCGACGACAACCAGCTGGTAGTCATCGGTGGCGTGGTGCCGAACGAAAACATTTTCGGCGAGTACATCCGTCACCGGACCGACATGTGGTCGCTCAATCTGGTGAGCATGACCTGGACCCAGATCTTCCCCAACTGCTACGACCCGCACTTCACGCTGCGGTCTCGGTCGGCCACTCCCAAGTTTGTTTCGACTCTTCCGGCATTGTGTGCCTCGTCAGGCCTGCCGCTCGACTGGCTCTCTGACGAGCGCTTTGGCGGGATCTACCCCGGCACTGCCGCCGTTCGGGCCTCCGACCCGGTCCTGCGCTCCAAGGGCATCCTTGTCGCGGCGGCGTGGTCGCATGTGCTCTCCATCGCTGACCCGTTGCCCACGAACCTGTTTGACGCTGTGGCCGATGTCTACTTTTTCAATCTCACGGCTAGCCCTCCTGTGTGGCAGCGCCTCTCGTTTGGCTCTGGAACCTGCCCTCCGACGCTTGGAGGTTCAGTGGTGTACTCGGCCCCCACGGCGAGCCTTGTTTTCGACGGCGGCTACTTCCTGGGTGAGGTGGCAAGCATTTCGGTCAGCACGACCCGCGGCATGACGTGTGTTGTCGCGTTCTCACGATCGCTTACGACAGGCTTGGTCGAAACGACGTCGCGGATGCCCATCGAGACGTCGGCGCCACAAATGCACAAGCTGCACACGGCTGGTGTGGCGCTGAAAGACGGGCGAGTCTTATTTGCCGGCGGCATTGGCGTTGGCCAATACCTCAATGTGATGTACCGGTCGTCGCACATGAGCGCTGCCGGCGCCCACACGTCGAGGACCTCTTATGGACTTGACGTCATCTTCTCGCCGCACGACATGTCATTCAGCTACCTCCCGGAGCGGCCGGCGGCGATGCGTTGGCGGGCCGGGGCGGTGCTCATTCGATTCCCAGATGGCAACGTGCTCGAGCTCGGCGGCGCGGTGGTGTCCTCGGCAAGCGCGGTGACCGGCGACGACGCACCCGCCATGGTCTTTCAGCTCTCACACAACGCTGCGGTCGTGGCCGCGGCACCGTCACCTGATCCAGAGTGGACCGGTACAGCAATCGAGCCACTCGCGCGGTGGGCGCAACGCTGCGACACGTCCCGGCCCGGGGCTCGGTAGTCCTTTTTGGCGGCGTGCCGAAGCGCGTCGATCCTTTTGACATTGGCCGGCTCGTCGCGGTCGACTCTGACACCAGCACCAAGCTCTCGCAAGTCTACGAGTTTGACCTCGCGAGCCAGAGCTGGGCACTGCTGGCAACAACCGGGCGCGACCCGACGACGCTGTGGTTGCTAGGTGGCTCGTGTATCATCGACTCGACGGTGTACATGTTCGGCGGCATCACTATCGACAACGGGCTGGTTGCCGCGAGCGATGAGCTGTGGACGCTCGAGCTGAACACTGGGGTGTGGACGCGGCAAACCACGTTTGGCACGCCTCCGCCGGCGCTGTTTGGCACCGGGGCTGTCTGCACTCCGGACGGAAGTAAGATGTACGTTGTGTCTGGCCTTTCCGACCTGCGCTTGTTGGGGTCTGATGACCTCATCATGCTTCCGACGCAGATCTTCTCGCTGGACGTGGGTAGCATGACGTGGAGTGTTGTGCCTGCGCCACCAGTCAACTTTCCGTTTGGCTTGCGACCATTTATCGTACCGGAGGCGGTGGCTGTTGCGACTGGGCGTGGGAATGGTGAGCTCATTGGCGTGGTGGGACCTGGTCTAATCACTTCGCCCACGTTTTTTGGCATCTACGGCATGGTCTTTCTCTACAATCCCAGTGACGGGACGTGGGTCGAGGCAACGCCGGAGGAGAACGGCAAGAACCGCGAGCTGCCGCTCTGGTTTCTGGGTAGCGTGAGCAATGCCCGCAGCGACGGGACGGTACTGATGTTTGGCGGTGAGGCGTTTGAGGACCAGGTCGTCAACTCGGTCCTGCAACTCTCGCTCCATGACTGGAGCGTGCGGGCTGTGGCCCATGTGCCGAACACCGGGACGGGTAGTGCAGTGGCTGCTATCGAGGAAGCCTCTGTAGCGGCGCACGGCGACGCTTACTACTTTGGCGGGCAGCAGGCGAGCGATTTTGACACGCCTGCACGGGTCTCGGGTGTGCTCCGGCGGTTCGACATCGGTGCTGCCATGGCGGTTGAAGCGAGCAGCGCGATGTCGGGCACGTTCAACGTCAAGAACTCGCTGGTGCTTGAGGGACATGGTCCCGGACTGGAGTTTAACGACCTTGTGTGTGCGTACGGCGACCTGCGAGGCGATCCGGCCACGTTTGTGGCGCCAAACCGGGTGTTGTGTAACTTGCCCAAGGCCGCGGTAGGGCAGGCGATGGTCCGCCTGCTTGTGGGCGGCACAGGGCTTCAGTCGCTTTCAACAGGCGTTAGCTTTACCAAGCTCGGATGCCCGCCGGGAACAGCTGGGACGCAGATCAGCGTTCCGTGCATACCGTGCGGTCTTGGGGTGTACACGGATACATACGGCGAGGCGACATGCAAGCTCTGTCCCGACACCCAGTACACTCCGAGCGTCGGATCGACAACGTGCGCGTCATGCTCCGGCGGCCAGTACTTGGCGGTGGATGACGGGCTGGCACGGCAGTGCAAGCCATGTCCTCCGGGTCACTATTGGCCTAATGCAACCGACGAGTTCGCACCGTCTGCGGTAGAGTGTACAGCGTGCGCGATCGATGCGTACGCGACCGAGGAGGGCTCGACCGGTTGCAGCAAGTGCCCGGCCAACTCGAAGATCGGAACGAGCGGCGGCGACTCGGCGGACAAGTGCAAGTGCAACGACGGGTTCTGGGGCAACCTGGCAGACGGACCATGCAATGAGTGCCCGCAAGGCGGGATTGCGACCTGCGAGTTTCTCAACAACGAGGTCCCTGTGCCGAACGCTGGGTACTGGCGCGACCCGGAGAACGCTGGGCTCGTGCTCGAGTGCACGCCAAAGAGTGCATGTCCAGGCGGGGCAGCATCAGCGTGCGCGACTGGCTACACTGGGAGGGCTTGCAGCCGGTGTACAGAAGGGTACTACCCGCTGGAGGACGAGTGCGAAAAGTGCCCGGACAACACGATGGCGCCGATGATCATTGGTGGCGTCGCCCTGCTGATTGTCATCATTCTGTTTTACAAGGTGGCCGGCAAGTCGACGGGCAAGTCGTCGTTCACCTCGATATCGATTGCAGTCAACTACTTTCAAACGGTTGCGCTGTTCTCGGCTTACGAGCTCAACTGGCCGGGTGCGATTGTGACGATCATCAAGTGGTTCTCCATCTTCAATCTCAGTCTGGACGCGGCATCGCCCGAGTGCGCCGTCTCGGTCTCGTACAAGACCAAGTGGCTCATTTCGATGTCAGTGCCGCTGGTGGTCGGCTTTGTGTACGGGTGTTACGTTCTGGTGCGGTGCATGTGGTCGTCGTTGCTCTCGTGCTGCAAGGAGGCACCAGTTGAGGCTGCGGGTGCAGCGAGCTCGCGTGCATCCCGGTACTCTTCGGGTTTAGACACGGGTAAGGGCAAGGTCGAAATGGATGAAGAGCAAGAGGAGGGCTCGGATGGGGTGGAGCTTCTCCAGCGAAGCGGTAGTGCAGCCGGTGAAGCGCCGCGGGAATCCAAGGCGGTAGTAGCGGCCTCTTGCGCGGCGTGCAAGGTGCTATCTCGCTCGGAAATTTGGTCGATGGCGAACCAGATGCTGCACGCGTACCTGATGTTCCTCTCTTTCTACTACGCGACGATGGCGTCGAAAGCACTGGAGCTGTTTGCGTGCAAGAAGCAGACGGACGGGACGTACACGCTCATTGCGTATCCGTCGATGCAGTGCTACTCGAGTGCATGGTGGGAGGTTTTCCCGTACGCGTTGGTCGCGGGCTTTGTGTTTGTGGCGGGGCTGTATGCGCTGTTTGCGGTTATTCTGGTCAAGGTCTTCCGGCCGGCGTTCCTCTCGGAAGAGGAGACGCTGTATGAGCGATATCTTGCGCGGTTCGGGTTCCTTACCTCGCGGTACGCGTTGGTGTGGTACGGATGGGAGCTTGTTGTGATTGGGCGCAAGGTTGCGCTCATTGCGGCGACGCTGTTCTTCCCGCAGCTGCCGACGCTCCAGGGACTTACGGGTATGTTTATTGTCTTTGCGTCTGTGCTTACGCACGTGTACGCGCGGCCGTTCCGCAACCGGCGCGAGAACCGGCTCGAGTTTGTTGTGCTCTGTGTCGAGTACTTTCTGCTCTTTGTCGGCCTTGTGCACTCGGACCAGATGGACTCGGCGTCGTCGACGACGCTTGCTGTCATTGGCGTGACAGCGATTGCGCTCTCTGCTGCCCTCATTCTGGTGACTGTCGGAATGGAGGTCCGGCTGTACTACTACTCGCGACGGTATCGTGAGGCGGCAGCGGAGCATCCGGAGCTGTCGCAGCGGGCCGAGTTTGTGCTCACCGAGGAAGCGTACTTTGAGCTCATGTCATGGGTGAAAAACGACGGTGACGAGGACGAGTGCACCGAGCTGGCCAACGTGCTGGAGGGTATGTACTTTAAGACACGTGCGCTCCGCAAGCAGCACAAGGTCGACGTGTTTGTGGATGAGGTGCAGAAAACGGTCTCAGTCTACCGAGAGACGGCGCCCGCCGACGACGTCGAGGTGCTGGACGGACTCATCGAGCGCATCACCCGCCGGGCTATTGTCAAGGACCAGCGGACGATGAAAGAGAAGCTTTTGGCGCGGCCGTCGAACAAGGTCCAGCCAATGCAGAAGCTCGATGGCGAGTCCAGCTCGGTGAGCGCGGGGCCGTCCAGCTCCCCGGCGGCGCCTGGCGACGGTGAGACGACGAAGCTCAAGAGCCAGCCAGGTTCTCGGGTGCGGTCAGATTCCAAAAGCAGCCGGGCGCGGACGAAGACCAGCCGGCGTCGTTCGAGCGGAGCGCGGCCGCGTGGAGAAGAGCCGGGCCGTAGTGCGAGCGCGACGCGTATGGACAAGAAGCGGCCTTTGCTGGCGACGCAAGGCTCGGATCCCGAGGTGATGGGAGCGGCGAGCGGTGCCGCGGCACGGTCGAGCGCGACGCGTATGGAGAAGAGGCGCTCAGTCTCGACGTCGCTGACGCAGACGCAACCGAATCTGGCGTTTGTCCGCGACGCTGGGCTCAACAGCTCCCAGCCGCAAGCTGCAGGCAGCTTGAAGAAGCGGCGGCGGTCGTCGTCTCGGCGTCGCTCTCACGCCAACATTGTTCGCGCCGACTGCATTTCAATGTCGCTCGACGAGGCGACGGCAGCCGAGCCGCAGACCGACCGGCCGACTAACGTGCCTCATCGCACAGAAGATGACGAGTAAAGTGCGCACATGCCCATGCCATCGGAAAGTGAGCGATGGTCAAGAGTGTACAGAGGCAGGATCGGCAACGGGCGCAAAAGGCATTGGCACCTGACTCTTTGCGGTGACCAACATGCCATCAGGTACGATTGGAACCCAAAAAAGTTCCATTCTTTCAACTGTGGCGGAGGGAGAGGGAGAGGGGGGGGGGGTGGGGCGGTGGAGAAACAGGGCTTGGTGGGTGTTTACATGGAAGGCGAATGAGGAGACACAGGGGAGACATAGTAGATACAAACACAACTACGATCAAGTACTCACCCTCACCTACCTATTCATTCCATTCTCTCCTTTGTTCAATTGTTTGTACGGCTGTTACAGAGGTACGTGTTCCAGCAGTCTCGGCGACCCGAGCGCCAGAAGAACAGGTCCGACCAGCCCAGGCAAGATGCACGACTATAGCCGTACCCGTCCATGACTCACTCCCTCCCTCCCTCCCTCCCCCCCTTCCTTCTCCGTAGTGGGCATGTGACAAGTGCACGTACCTCAACGTGGCGCAGGCCAAGGTGTGCATGGTGTGCCAGAGCAAGTACACACCCAAGGCGTGCAAGCACGACTACCAGCACACCTCGCCGCTCGACGAAGAGTGGATGACGGCGGCGTGTGCTGGTTGTGGCGTTCAGGCTCCGTTGCCGCAGGCAGAAGAGACTGTGGATGCTGGAGTGGCTGCGGCTGAGGCGGCTGAGGCGGCGGATGCACCAAACGCAGCTTGGGTTTGCCTCGTCTGCTACCAAGTGGTGTGCGCTGAGTGCCGCGGGGCCCATGCCGACGCCACGGACCACTTTCTGTACATGGCCCGTGACGACGGCTCGCTCTTCTGCACCGCCTGTGATGACGCGATCGAGGACGCCGATGGCACATTCTGGTTTGTTCTGGGCCTTCGCAGGCAGCGCGTCGACGACGCCGTCGACCGCGCGCTAGAGATGCCGGAGCTGGTTCTCGAGCCCGAGGCCCCGGCCGCGGGAAGCGACGACGCAAGCGGCGCTGGGAGAGCAACGGCGGCGAGCAAGGCAGTCGAGTCTGTGGAGGATGCTGGGCCAGGCGCTGGCGCTGGCGCGGGCGCTGGCACGGACGCGGACAGCGCAGCGTATCCTGATGCTGCGGCGGCGATCTTCGACTCGGGCTGGACCGAGGTGCACACGGCGGCCAAGCTGGGCGACTATGGCAAGACAAAGCAGGCGCTGGATGTGAATCCGGAAGCGATCCATGGAATCCACGAGCCGGATGGGTGGACGCCGCTGTACTTTGCGGCGCACGGTGGGTTCCCGGACGTGGCCAAGCTGCTCATCGACGCCGGCTCGTCAGTCAACTATCAGTGCCTCCGGTACGGGTGGACGCCGCTGCATGCGGCGGCGCAGGGCGGGTGTGTCGAGGTGGCGGAGATGCTTGTCGCTGCAGGCTCGGATGTCGAGCTCAAGAACAACTCGGGCGTGACCGCCATTGAGCTGTGTGAGGACGCCGAGATGAAGGTGCATCTGCAGGCGTTTGTAGAGTCGGTGCAGAGCGCGGGTGAGGCGTAAATGGTAGTGGGGCAGCTTACTCGAATTCGAGGACGCGGAGCTCGGGCCCGCCGGCTGCGGTTCGGGCGGCCATCAGCGGCCGCAAGAACGAGGCAAGGGTGGCGGTGCCCGGGCCGATGAGGACAAAGGTGTCGACGTTGCCACCGGCCGGATCGACGAGCCACTCGAGCGAGGGATACCAGAGGACTGACGACGTGGTCTGCGCCACAAGAGCGTCGACCAGCTCTGAGCCACCGGCGGCTCGAGGGTGGGCGTCGATGTTGGAGACGATGGGCATGGCCGGAGCGCAGAGGCCGCCAGGCAGAGCCTCAAGCATGGCACGGACGGCGGTGGCGGCCGGGGCCATCAGCTCGCAGTGAAAGGGCGCGGAGACCGGAAGTTTTGTGGCGCGGCGAACGCCAAACGAAGACTTGGCCAGATCAATGACATCCTGGACAGCCTGGGCCTTGCCCGAGATGACGACCTGTGATGGCGAGTTGACGTTGGCAATGGAGACCACCCGTGCCGCCGAGTGCGGATCCTCAAACTCGGCATCTGCCCAGGCATCCAGCAGATCCTGTGCACGCGCATGCGACATGGGCATCAGCGCCGCCATCATGCCCTGTCCGCGCGGAACAGCGTCCTGCATGGCCTCTCCGCGACGATGGACGATGGAGAGCGCGTCGGCAAAGGGTAGGGCGCCAGCTGCCACCAGGGCCGAGAACTCGCCCAGCGAGTGGCCCAGGACATAGTCGGGGCGCTCCGGCAGGGCATCATCAGCAAGGACAGACTTCCATACTGCGATCGAGTGGGCAAGAATAGCAGGCTGCGTCCACCGGGTCTCGTTCAGCCGTGACGCCGGGCCATCCTGAACGATACTGCTCAAGCCGGGCAGCGCCTCGTCAGCCTCGGCATGGACCCGAGCTGCTGCCTCCGACCTGGCCACCAGCGACGCACCCATCCCCACATACTGAGCGCCTTGACCGGGAAAGGCCACAGCCGATACGCTCGCCACAAACCGCCTGACGCTTGCCTGTGACCTGATGAGTCTGAGCATGGGGTGGCGTGGGGGGAGAGGGGGGAGGGGGAAGGGGAGGGGAGGAGTGTGGCGGGTGGAGGGATCGTTCGTGATTGAAGGGAAGGACAGGCGGGGGGGGGGGGGGGTGCGCAAGAGGTTGTATTGGAGCATCAAGATGAGGTTGAGGTCGAGCATTGTGACGAGGTGGAGCATTTGCACGGGGTTGAGGTCGAGCATTGTGACGAGGTGGAGCATTTGCACGGGGTTGAGGTCGAGCATTGTGACGAGGTGGAGCATTTGCACGGGGTTGAGGTCGAGCATTGTGACGAGGTGGAGCACTTCCGCGGGGTTGAGGTCGTGCAAAGGCATAACGTCGAGCAGGCTTAGATGGCCGCGCCGTGGCCATCACCACCACAGCACGGCGACGAGGCGGCGGCAGCATGGACAGTGTCCATCTTGGAGCCAGCGACAAGCGGGGCTTGCTCGCTCGACGACGGGCAGCCGCAGGTGCGCTCGCGCCAGCGGCGGCGGAGGCGGATGGCGAGGAGCTGCGAGACAAAGAAGCCGATGATGATCGAGGTGAAGATCCAGGCCTCGTAGAGCATGACCAGCAGCATGATCCAGTAGGCAAGAACCATCTGAAGCGCAAAGAGAGCAGCAACCGCGAGGTCCAAGCCGAGCATGGGCAGGCCGCCCGAGCAGAGCGACGGCGATGACGGCGACGACGACGACGATGACGACGACGACGATCGGCGCGAGGCCCAAAGCGAGACCCGCTCACGAACAAGCTGGAGGAAGACCATGGCAAGGACGAGAGAAAACGAGCCGATGCAAGCGAGGGCGTACTTGCCTGGGGTGTCAACAACGGCGCCCTGGAACAGCCAGAGAATGCACGAGTTGCCCTCGATCATCTTGGACGGATTGTATGTGGTCTGGAAGCCAGGCATCATGACCCGGCCCATGCCCTTGCAGAACATAATGAATAGGTCGAGAGATATAGGTCGAGAGATGTGGGGTTGTGGCGGCGTGGGTAGTGTCAGGAAAGCGGCATCGGTGGCGGTAGGTCGAATGACGCGCAGACTGGGTAGGTGCGGGTGGCGGAGCGGGGGTTGTGCACGTGTCGTGGTCCTCGAAACGATTCGCCGAGTAACGCCGGTAAAGAGCAAGTGCGAGTGTTATGACAGGAGACGGAGATGATGTACTTGTATGTGACAGGTGGTGTGTGTGAACCGATGGGCTCGTGTCAGCCAGAAGCGGCGACGTTGATGTCGGACCACTTGAAGAAAATGCGATGCGAGCACTCGCCCATGTCTTCGGGGTGCTTCTCAAAGTACCGCATGTGGCCCTCGTGGGCAGGGTAGAACGGGCGGGCGAGGCGGATTTGAGTAGCTACGTTGGGTGTGCTGTAGCCAGTGATGGTGCCGGCGTCGATCAAGGCTTGGACGTCGGCGATGACGGTAGTCACGGTCGCGGCCTGCTCCGGAGTGTAGACAAAGATGACAGTGGCGTACTGGGTCCCGTGGTCAATGCCCTGCTGGTTGTGTGTGGTGGGATCGATGATTGAGTGGCAGAACCGGACAAGGTCCTCAAACGAGGCCTTGGACGTATCGAGCAGTCCGTGCGCCACCTCGACGTGGTTAGTCTTGCCCTTTTTCACCTCGGCGTACTCGGGATCAGCCATGTCGCCGCCCATGAACCCAACCTCGAGCTCAGAAATCGAGTCCGGGAACTGATCCTGGAAGTTCTTGAGGAGAAACTGCACCCAGATCCAACGCCAAGCGAGATCACCAGACCATCATCACCACCGGCACAAGCAGAGAGTTACACCAGTGCGACCGCCATCGCCCACCACCCACCCATCACCAACCAGAGTACCACCGAAGATGCCCCCCCATGATCCATGATTTCACACGATATCCCCCATCATCAGCTGGCCACATGAGTGTTCCTCCACTCCCCTCCCCCCCTCTCCGTACATGTGACTTTTCGGGGGACATTCGGTTGGAAGCTTTGGCCGATGACGACATCAAGGCGCACATGTCATGTTACCTGGCCCATGAGTGTGGGTTGTCACCTTGTGATGGCGATGGCTTCACTGGTAGTCTCACGGAGAGAGTGCTCGTTTGATGCTGTTGTACATACCGCCGCCACCTGTCAGCTGAGTCATCGCTCGCCGCTGCCGAGGTTGCGATGGCGACCGATGAGATGATCGGTGACGATTCTGACGTGATGCGGAGACGATTCTGACGTGATGCGGAGACGACATTGTTTGTGATGACGCTGGCTATCAAGACCCTCTGTACAAAGCTACTCATGACGATTAGCTTGATATTGCAGCCGGCATGCCTGTCGTTGGCATGGTTGGCAGGCGTGCCGCGACGTTCTGTGCCATCGCCACCGCCACGCCACTCTCGTGACCCCCATGCTTCACCTCCACGTAGCAACAAGGCACACCATAGCCATGGGGGCCACCCTTGCCATCCTTCATCTCCACCTACACCACCTGCCCACCACCTCTGCCTCCACCATCCTCACATCCCTCTCCGATGCCACCACCACTACCCCGCCAGCCACCGGCACCGGCACCGGCACCGCCAGCGCCACCGGCGTTACCTTGTCACACCTGACGCCCGCCTCCACCGCCATGGCCACCGACAGCATCCAGAACTTTTGCATTGGTGCAGGATGCTACTGGGGCACAGAGCATGTACGCACATCTCCTTACCCCCCCATTTTTTTTTTTCAAGATAAC